CTAGAGACTAGTGGAGATAGAATTCAGACTGAAGTTCTCTGGATATTTTATACTCTTGCAGAGATGGTTTAAATATATATGATATTAGGAAAAGATAACTATTTGATGTGAAGCATATATGACTTATATGTATGAATTTATTCAAATGATATCTTGCTAGGTATTTCCACCTCTTCCAGCATATGTAAAGCTGAGGTATTATAACCACTATTGCTGGAATAATTGGTTAATTAAATTCATCTACTTGAAATCAAGGCAGTGTCTGAGGTTCTTCAGATTAGTAATTTGAATCTTGTTTGTTTATTTATTTTTATTTTTATTTTATTTATTTTTGAGAGCATGTGTTCACCAGCATGAATGGAGTGGGGGCAGAGAAACAAGGAGAGAGAGAATCCCAAGCAGGCTTCCAGCTCTTGAAACCCAATGGTTGAGGGTGACAGGAGAGACTAGATCTCAAGAACTGAGAACATGACCTAAGCCTAAATCAGGAGTTGGACGCTTAACCCAATGAGCCACCCAGGCACCCTGTAATTTCATTTATATTCTTTCTTCCTTCCTTCCTTCCTTCCTTTCTCCCTTCCTTCCTTCCTTCCTTCCTTCCTTCCTTCCTTCCTTCCTTCCTTTCTTTCTTTCTTTCTTTCTTTCTTTCTTTCTTTCTTTCTTTCCTTTGTTTCTTTCTTTCTTTTCTTGAGAATGGGCATGCACAAGCAGGTAAGAAGGGCAGAGGGAGAGGGAATCTTAAGCATACTCCAAGGTTTTTGCAGAGCCCAACACAGGGTTCTGTTACATGACTGTGAGATCATAACCTGAGCAGAAATCAAGAGTGGGATGCTTACCCGACTAATCTACTCAGGAGCCCTTGTAAATTCATTTTTAAGTAAAAGTTTTGAAGTCCAAGTTAAAAATATGCACATCCATGTAAACTAACCTAGTTTTTGGAGATCAAGATTATTTTAATTATGCCTCCTTTATATACAGAGGCTATATCATTGGTGAGCTATTTTAAGGCATGAACTTTGAACTGATATTTTAAGTTGATTTCTTATAATGGATGGATTTATATCAGTTTATCCATATTCACTTATTTAATTGCTATTGTAACAAATTCCATGGATTTTCAAATGATTAGCCAATGGTCTGGATGTATCAATAAAATAAGTGAAGAAATTAAGATTGGTTCTTGATTCTTTTCTTCTTTAAAGGTATGAAAACAATTCACATGTTCTTAGAAAATGCCCTGGGATCAAGATTTTTCTCATCGTTGACCTATTCTTTGATGAATAGAGGAGAAATTTAGCAAGACCAATAAGAGCAGGGTGATCTCCACAATAGATACTGTAACATGTACCAGAACAAATTGAAGGTGTCATTTTATTTTTAGGATTCTAACTGTGTCATTCATTACTTGCTAACTTTTTCTGCAGTGTGATGCCTCACAGAGGTAAAATCAGGTTGATTATGGCATTCTTTGAGAATATAGAGGAGTTGTAATATTTTGCTTTTCTGCATATAGACATCCAGTCAAGATGCAAAGTGGCATGTCCAAATCTGGACTGGTGATTGAAATATTCCCATATTGTAGCAAGAATGAGGATAGCTTTGAAAAGTGAGATCTACCTATCAGTTGTTTAGGAACTCAAATAATTTACCATTATCCTATGATGCACCACACAATAATCTGTAAGGTAGTTAGGGGTGTGTAGAGTATTTTTCTTTTGTATTGGAGGGTGAAAAAATGAAGTGGGAGACTTTGAGCCAATTACTGAAGAGTCGTTGAATCCTGTCTCCTAGGTTTATGTATTTTTTCCTCTAGATTCCTTCCAACCTCTTCAATGATTTCCTCAGTAGGTTAATTCTGAAGTTAATATCCAGGAGACTACAACCCAGTCCCTTATCTTTCTGAAGAATCAAACTAAATGGACAGGATTTTACCCATGAGAGTTTTGACTCTTTCATAAAAGTGAAATTTGTATTTGATTTACAGAAACTAGGAATCTTCTTGCAGGAGATAGCCTGAGTCTAGTGGGTCCTAGGTTCTTAGTATAAGCTCTACCTTCTCCTGTATTTAAGTTTTAATAAGTTTTGGCTACTTTTCACTTTCCTTGAATATTAAAAAAATATACTCTCTCTTTATTCAGAGACTCTTGCTGTGGAGCTGCTTTGGTTCTGAAGGAATGTTGCCTATTGTGACAAGTGAAACTAATGTCAGGCACATTTTCCATAGGTTTTATTAGTTCTGTAATCTTCAGATGAAAACAGTCAGTTGAAAAATCTAGAAGTCTGGAAAGATGAATTTACAGAATGGACATTATTTCCCAAATTGGCTCTTGGAGGTTGTCTTTTTTATGCTAGAGGTAGCAAGAGCCAGATTACAGTAGTACCTAAAGCCAACCTGTTCCAACAGGCTTCATCTTCCTTTGTACAAATTTAAAAAGAATGGATCCTCACGCAAGCATTTGAAATCCAGAGACAAATTTGAAAAAAATTGCTACAACATGTTGACTGATTCCTTGCCAAGTCAGCCACTGAAAACTTTTACTTGACCGACTCTTACAAAGAGAAAATTAAAAGGGTGGGGGTGAAGCACATAACTTTGTTATTAAAAATTAAACTTCACAATACCATAAATCCCTCTCCCTCTTAACATTTTTTCTCTGCTTTTAACCCCCTTCTCTTCCTCACTCTTATCTTCTTGCTCCCCTCCCTTTCCCTTTTTTCTTTCTTCTAATCATTCTCTATAATGTACTCTGTTGCTCTAATGTATTCAGTTTTACTTTTAGTATTGATACAGTGATATGTTCTGGAGAAATAGCTTTCCAAAGATTATATTCAGATATACAGATTCAAACCGGCAGAAAGGTTAAGAACATTTTAAAAATCTGCTTGTCAGCAGTGGAAAGAAAGCTGTTTGTAGCCAGCAGGTGAGCTGGAGAGTACTACAGGGTGTGGTAGAGATAGTAATAAATTAACTGGCAAGCCAAAAACTATAAAAAAAAAATCAGCTATTTCATAGCATAGAAGCATGACAGCTATGAAAAAAGGAGTGCCCCAGGGAATTCTTTTAGAGTTTGATTTTTTTAAATATGTTTGACATGAAAAATGTTTTAGTACAAATAAAGCAACTGGTATTAAACTTACAGGGAGGGGGGTTGTGGTTTAGAGTTAGTATGAATAATGCATGATATTTAAAGAAAGAACAGCTCTAAAATGTTCCGGGAGGCAGTCCATGTTGATGGTTGGAATGGTGATTTTTTTCTCCTATTTTTGAAGCATCATTAATTCAGTATCGTTTTGTAATTTTTTTTGAACCTGATAAGATATCAACCAAAGAAATACTATTTGACTTAGATTAGGATATTCTTTCTTCAGATAATTTAGTTTAAATATCAAGAAGATCAGCAGAATTATTTAAGCATAAAGCGACAGTCATTTACTATAAAAAATAATTTGGCCTAGTTATCCTTTTTAAAAAGCTCATGTAGCAGTGCAAACCAAAATCAACCTCATGGAAGGGGAAAAACAAGATCGGATATTTTGAACATTACTCCATAGGAGACCAGCACAATATAGTGTTAGTGAATGCATTGTAGCAGTGCTCCATATGCAATCAGAAGCCAATTGTTACTGGACTGTGTACAAGCACACACTGTGCTCAATGGTCTGATGAGGTATTATGGATATGATGCAAAGAGACTGTGTAGATTAGAAGCTAACAATTTGTTAAAAGTGAAAGCAACTTAACATTTACATTGGGCCAGCTGAGTAGCACTTCGTGTGGCAAGCAGGATGAGTTCCAAGGAACCTGGGGCACCAGGAAGGCTCCAGGTATTAGTGTCCATGCAGAAAAAAGAGATTTTATTGCTTTCCAATTGACTACCTTTATTACTGTGATTCTTTCTATGCTGTCTCTTCTGTATTACATTCAGCTTTCAGTGTGGAAAAGTTCATGCAAAACAGAATGATTATTATAAATGTCAAAAATGTGTGGAGGAACAGCCTATTAAAATATAGCCTAGAGATAGTACATAACACTGACTTTAAATAAGTAGCTGAAGCCAAAGTGATACTCCATTAAATCACTGATATTGTGTAATTTATCCACAAGTATTAATTTTGACTTCAGTTACCACTATCACAATGCATTCTTCATTACTTTCTCTTGGTTCTTCATGTCACTGCTCACAGTCTGTGTTCTTAGGTCACAGAAAGTACTTTATTACCCTGTTCTGGAGTGGTATGGAGTCAGACATTAAGATGTAGCCTTGATCTCTGCTAGACCGTGTTCATGTCTAACAGACTTTTAATACAAATATCCCGTGTAAAATGTGTGGTTATTTAATCGAGTCATTATCAAAGAATAAATGATAAGTGCCTAGTATGCATGATTCTGTACTAGGTTCCACCAGAAGTTAATCCAGAAAAGTATTATTTCCACTCTCTTTGAGATACCAGGCATTTCATAGCATGTTGGCAGATAAGATTAGCTTCCTTCTCACCCCATCAAATAGAAGAGGTTGCATTTTTAAAATTTTTCTTTATTTTTTATAAAATAAAGTTTGGGGTTATGGACAGTCAATAGCTCATAATCTTTTTTGGACTCTAATACTGTGTCTTGCCTACCAAGCCAAAACCTTTTGTTGTTCTAACATAAAAACCTTAATACTTTCTTAGTGAACTGTCAGCCTGGCTTTAAGATATTTTTTTACTCTTAAAAAAATGATGTATTACAAGATTTGTAATGGAGTGAACATGCTTGAATTGCACATTTAATTTTTTTAACATCACATTCATGTTTTGCCAGTTTGCCTACTAGCTATCTGTTAACAAAAAGTTCCAAGGCAGCACTGCAAGTCTATGCCCAACTAAGTCTTTTGTTTCTGCAGATGTTTGGGCTTAGAGCAATGTTGTAAAGCTCAGGCAATCCAAGGACCATGTTTGTACTTGTCTGCTGCGATTCCCCGTGCATTGTCTAAACCTGTATGCATTGTTCTTTCCGACAGGTGATAACTACCCTGTACAGTTCATTTCATCAACAATGGCAGCTGCTGCTACTTCTGGACTCAGCCCTTTACAGCTCCAGGTAAGTGACAGAAGAAAAAAAAGTGGGATACAAGCCAGTTCTTTAGTGGAAAACTGCTAACCAGCTGTATGCTAAATAATGGCCTGAATGTTAAATAAGTTTTAAGCATAGCCTAGAAGGATTAACACCTTGTGTACTTACTGTACTGAAAATAGGAGAGGAAACTGCCAATCTTGGTATTTTTAAAGGAAAAATGATATTATGACTTAGTACTATGCATTTTCTATCAAGTAAGTTAATGGTTTTACAATTTTTATTGCTGGTTGCTCTTGGATCTGTTAGCTTTTTCCTTATCAATTTTCCATCCATGTCTCCATTTATGTCCTGATGTTCTTTTACACATAAACATCGAAACAGAAAACAATGTGGGTATTTTCCTTCTTGTAGCTTACAGAATAGGAAGTTGTTATCACCAAATTACTTCAACTATTTGGTAATATGTAAACAGTGCTCTAGAATATGTGTACCCTCATTCTCATTTTTATCTTCATGCCAAGTCAAAGTCTGGGCATGATATCTGAGCAAGTTCTGGATTAGGGTTCTTTACTATATGCTAAGCTTGCAGAGCAAGTGTTTTGGAAGCTGGATAAAAATCATTTATACCTTATCTTCTTCACAGTAAAGTGAGGGGTTTATGACAGGACCAGGTGATCCTTACATCCTTCTAGCTCTACCATGTTAACAGGACATTGACTTTAAATATGAATACATATTTTAACAAAAATGAACAATGATATCATTGAAATAATGGTTAAACTTTCAGCATTTGAACATTTAGAAATTATATAATAGTGAAGAACTTGAATTCCATTACAGTGGAAATTTTAAAGATAGTCTTTTATTCTTTTAATTTACTGTGATTATTTTTTAGTTTTCTTACAGGAATAGTATCTGGCTAGGTATTTTTTTTCTTCTTTGTTATTCCCTATATGGCTTGGGTATAAGAGATGTGCAAATATTTTACCATGAGAAAGCATGATTGTGGGCATTTTCAATTGGGTCTGCCAATACATAATTTTTCCAATCCTCTGAGTTTTTGTCATAAGCCTCATACAGAAAGCCTTGCTGATGTTACCTCTTATGGACAGCCTACCAGAGCTAGAAATTTTGCCAAACAGTAGCAATAGCCCACCTCTCTTCCAAAACTTCACCCTCCCCACTGCTGACACTGGAGCTTACTGCAGTGAGAAAAATCTAAAAAGAAACCTCACTTGTAGTAAACCTAATCTGCTTCTCCTTTTCCCATAGCTATACTATAGAATGTCTTCTTGACTCAGAGGCAGAAGTATGAAACGAGTACCATTGCGTGGTTCGATAACCAAGTTCCTCTGAAAGAGAGTGTCTGGTTCCTAAACCTTCTACTTTCTATTCTTTGGTGTGGTCAGTGCCCTGGATTTAGAAATATGTGTTCTGGTTCATGAGTTCTGACAGTATGTTTTGTCTTTTGTTTTGTTTTGTTTTCTGAATATGCTACTAAACAGAAGGGTCATGTCTCCCACCCACAAATTAACCCAAGGCTAAAGGGCCTAAGTGACCGTTTTGGCAGGAGTTTGGACACCTTTGAACATGGTGGTGGCCACTCTTACAACCACAAACAGATTGAGGTATGAATGCTTCCATTGGTGCTTCATTGGGTGGGGGACTGGATTGTTCAGTCATATTCTAGGCTTTTTTTTTTTTTTTAAGTGGCAAACACTCAACTTAAACACTAAAATGTTACCTTTCCCTTTTTCTCATTCCTAAGGAGGCTCATTTTTTGCTCCTTTTCTTTCAAAGAAGAAGGCAAGCCTCAGACCAATGCCCCTAATGACCTACCTAGATTGTTTATTGCTTTATATTTAGGCAAATTCTTTATAAGTACCTTCAAAACCATTACCCTTTCCCTTACTTTTTGTTCCTTTTATGTATAGTGTGGTATGGTGTTTAAAAATACTTAAACATTTAAAAAATCTCATTTCACCTTATAACAATACTGCAAAGCTGACAAAATATAATTCTGCTTGTATAGACAAAACAACAGAGGTTCAGAGAGACCAAGGATGCACAATATTCCTGGAGTCAGAGTTAGTACCTAGAATTTCTAACTCTGTCAAATTCAAGTTTCCAAATTTTGTTTTCCCTGGCTGAGGTGGGGCTGGTTGCCTGGGCCTGACTGGTTGCTTTTTGCCCAATTGACTTCTGTTGTGTCTCTTTCATATTTGGCTTCCAGAAAGCTCTTGGTTGTTTTGCTCAGATATTCTTAACACCTGGAGAAGATGGATTTTATGGCTATTTTGAAAACCAAGCCCTTTTTTGCCATAGATGTCTAGTCCTTCTTTATAATCTCATGGTTGATTTCTCTCTTACATCACTGGAGTCTCTCTCCAGGACCATCAGCTACTGAAGGGTTGCCAATTATCTGTTTGAATCAGACACACACACACACACACACACACACACACACACACACACACACACACAGATCGAGACAGGCTACTCAGACTGAAACACTCTTTAATTTTCTAGGTTAGATCTAATACTAAATTTTATATTATAACCTGAGATGGGAAACTCAACTAAAAAGGGATGCCTGGGTGGCTCAGTCGGTTAAGCGTCTGACTTTGGCTCAGGTCATGATCTCACAGTTCGTGGGTTCGAGCCCTGTGTTGGGTTCTGTGCTGGCAGCTCAGAGCCTGGAGCCTGCTTCTGATTCTTTCTCCCTCTTTCTCTGCCCCTCCCCTGCTCATGCTCTGTATCTCTCTGTCTCAAAAATAAATTTAAAAAATAAAAAAAAAAAGAAAAAGAAAAGAATTACATCTAGCAAAGTGACATATAAATTCAAGTCCTATTATCTCTGGCAGTCTGTATATGTATCAAATATTATATAATCAATATAGTTATCTCTTTCACATTATCCTCTCCTCTGCTCTTGAATCTATATTTTTGAAAAATAATAGAGAAAGCTCACTCTAAGAAGGAAGAGGAGGACAAGATCAAAAGCCACCTTGGAAGTAGCATGAGGAAGAGTTTCCAAGCTTATTGCCTGCCTTCCCCTTTCCCTTTCACTTTGATATAAGAAGTATATAGGGGTTCCCACCCAGACATGACCAGGCATATACTGTCAAAGTATCTGCTATCTTCTATAGAGTAAGAAGGGATTTCTTTTGTAAGTCTTTCTTTTGGCTGTAGAGAAGATGCCATATTTCTGGACATTCTGAAGATCTACTAGGGCTGGGGTTGCTAAAATGGAGGGATAACTGCATATGAGGGACAAGACATTCTGTGTGATGACAGTTAGCAAGCTTATGCACTCAGGACAGATAGTTTGTTAAACGTTTGAGTACTTGGACGAATGTGAAAGCAGGTGGTCCTGGCTCTAATTCAAGACTTCCTCTCTTTGACTTTTATTTTTGCTTGAAGTGTTGAGATCTAGCCCATCAGCCTTTTTCTGGCAGCAGTTTGCTACCCAATCACTTCTTTTGCTCATTTTTCACTTAGATTGACTTCTCCCCCTGACACCATTACCGACCCCTGGTGCTGTCAAATCTGGCTTCTGTTTGGTTTCTGAAAACTGTGATGTCATATATGTGAGTGCCAGATCTGTGTAGTTCTTTAGCAACACTGATCTAGAAGCACAACCTCTGCCACATGCCTGTTACTTTTATTAGGATAAATAGAGCCCCTTCATGCAGGACCTCCTCAGACTTTACCCATTTGAAAGTTTTCTGGATTTTTTATTATTCTTGCTCTGTTTCTTTGCTTTCATTTTTTATACCTTTTTTCACCCCTGCATGTCAGGAAACTTTTGCTTTGTTTGCTTATATTGCACACTGGTTAGAAAAGGTTGACCTTGTTTAAAAAGTAGGTTTCCCAAACTTCCCTGGTATGAGTATTACATGTTTATTGGGATGCCCACAAAAAGCACAGTAGACACACAAATCCAAGCTACTACAGACACTAACATTTTAAATATTAACCATCTGCCTTACTGATTTTAGTCTGCTTTCTTTTCTAATTCTCCATTCCTTTGACAAGCAAAAATGTTACAACTCTGTTAAGAATCACGATTATGATAGACTGTTGATACTAAGGAAACATTACAATTATTTTAACTGGATTTATTTCTAAACAGAGATTCTTAGGAAGAAAAGCCCATAACATATACATGCCACCATCACCGTACCTCACCACTTTCATATATACATCTGGCTGCCTTGCTCAGAACTGGTCCTCTCTGCCTGATGTTACAGCTAATTTGTTCTTCAAAGGTTGTCACTTCTAACATTAATGAGCCTGGATAAATCTTAACAGCAGTTATAGTTCTAAACTGAAAGGCTGAAATTTTGTTATCAAGTAGAAAAAAGGTGTTTAAAGTGGAAAGACCCTTCTTACATTAGCATATTCCAGTTCGTTCTTTCTTTAAAATAAGGAAGATACAGGAAAGACTTTTTTTTTTTTTTTTTTGGTCCCCTATGCTGATCTAAGGCATGGTTTTCTCTGCCTCAGGGGCACAATATTAGGAGAAAGAAGGCCAAAGAATGCTATTTTTAGTTGAACCGTTCAGCAGATGGAGGCATGAATACTCATATATCTGAAGGTTGAGGGGCTTGAACCATTAATTTTGATAATGTATTTAACCCTGGGAACAATCAGAAACTGTAACTCTAAGGTTACAGTGTTTTTGACCTTTAGAGAACAGAGGGCGCTTGCTACAGTAAACAATATATTATATTGCTACTTATTCCAATTCTCTACCCGTATAAATTTCAGGACCAGTTGCCATTTGCTTTCCTCAGCTATGTTAGCACTGGTCCTTCAAGTACATGAAAAAGAATGTTAAGGAAGGAGGACCAGGATAATGACGCAGTCATGTAAATACGGCCTTTAAATAGCTAAGATGTTAAATTGTTTCTGAAGAAACATTATCTCAGAAACTAAGCTCTGACTAACTTCTTTTTTTAACGAAAAAGTGGTTATAATGTATCAATTCATTATATGCATTTGCTTTCAATATTATAGATCCTTAAAAGTAATTTTATTTTGGGGCGCCTGGGTGGCTTAGTCGGTTAAGTTTCCGACTTTCGCTTAGGTCATGATCTCGCGGTTTGTGGGTTCGAGCCCCGCGTCGGGCTCTGTGCTGACTGCCAGCTCAGAGCCTGGAGCCTGTTCTAGTCTGTGACTCCCTCTCTCTCTGACCCTCCCCTGCTCACGCTGTCTCTCTCTCTCTCTCCTCGAAATAAATAAAACATTAAAAAAAAAAGTAATTTTATTTTTTAATTGGGGGGTATGTTGCTTCATAGATGTTGCTTATGTTAAATACAATCTGGTACCATATCGTGCAAAGTGATACACCTGTCTCATGCCTTCTTATTAAATGATGCATGCTTCTCTTTAGCAAATACAGCAGTTAAATATCACACAGCTTAAGAATTTCTAATTAAAATATCTCCACATGTCAGCATATTGGTAATGTATTATTTTAATCCATTTATTTTGTTTATGAAACAGTGACATATGTTTAGATTGTGAAATATATGAGCCTTAAAAATCACTTTATTGAAGAAAATTAATTCCTACAATACAGTCTCAGTAATGTGTTCACTCACCCAGTCAGTCACTGGCGGCACTGCCAGTCTTAATGTTGGGTAGACACACTTACCAGTTTTATCTGCATAATGGTCTTGGAAAGAAGCAATCACAGTTCTTTTTCTTAGTGCCAAATGGTAGAGTTTTTCTTTCCTTACTTTTTTTTCTTTCTCATTAATTCATACCTTTCCCCCCAAAACACTTTGTGGCTTTTTTTTTTAATACAATGAAGGATGGAACTGAGTATATGTATAGGAAATTCTGAAAGACCAATCAAAATTAAAAACAAGCTAGTTACCTTTTCAAAGTTAGACATAGTAATTTGTTTGTCAGCAGGGAGATGTTTGGGTCAGCCCTGAGATAAAGTGACTGTCAGCAGTTATTCCTACAAGACAAGTAATTTCACTCAATGTATTACTGACAGATTGCTCACTTCTCTGAATCACCCGTGAAAACAAACTTAATATTGTTACAGGCAGAGTTTCTGTCTTCATTAGCCTCAGAGAATGATTTTTATGAAGCATTCAAAGTCTACCAAGCTTTAGTTGGAACATATTTTAACAGGCAAGTTCTTATAATGATAGTATGGGTAGTAACCTAAAATGAAAGGGATTAAATATGAAAATTTGAAAAATATCAATATAAGTACATTTTCACTTTTAGTTAATGAGCAGTATGTGTACTTTAGGGGAGATTTGAGGAAAGGAGTATAATTAGAGCCTTAAAGCACTAGGAAAACCTATCAATCATAAGTTACTGTTAAATGAAACTATTAAAGTCTTGGCAAGTTTGCAAAGATGGAGAACAATTGAAGTTTTAGCAGAAGTAAAGGCAAACATATTTTATTTAAATGATATTGTCACTTTTCATGCTACAGATGGAAAGTGAAGAAGTACCCATCAACATTGAGAATGCTCTAATTCTATTTCAGTTTCAGCCTGAATCTTTATGATATTGTATTCAGATGCTCTTCTCTGGCTCATACCCTGTTTTCTTGTTTGCAGTTGTAAACATGCCTCAGTGCTTTAGAGAAACAAGA